TGGGTAGTGGGTTAGGCCTGAGACTTCAAGGATGAAAGACATCAGGGTGGGCTTTGCCTCCAGGCTACAATTAAGATCAAGGCTTTTTAGTAAGATTCGTAGTATAAAGGTTGTTGACTGTCTGCTTCCTTCTGTTTCTCCTCATTTTTCAGTTGGTGACTGTAGTAAATAAGCCTGACAAGGGTTGTTCCTTATCATGGATTCCACATCTTTTGTGGCAAATCTGCTATATCTTGCTGTCCTATGGGGTTTGACAAGCTCAAGACTGGTTTGTTTTGGTGTTTCTGTTTGATTTTGTTTGTTTGTTTTTGTTTTTTGGGGGGACAATTGCAGGAAAAGTATGTGCATGTTTCCAATCCTTTTGTGGCTGCCATGAAACAGTGGGAAGGGAGCAGTGCAAATGTGAGCCATGTGAGCCTTGACTGTGCAGTTCAGTCCATGATCTCTTGATCAAATGTTGCCATACAGGACTGAATTTTTAAAATGGCCCATTTTCCTGCACAAATTTATACACTCAGTTACTGCGTCGCATCCAGTACCAATTTTTGGTTCATTTATCTGCAAGACAAAGCTGCATTATTGACAAAATTGTAATCCTTGTGCTTTTAATGTAGAGTGAAGTTAAACAAAAGAACTCCTAGATATAATTTAGGATACATGTAATATAAAGATGCCTTAGCCCCTTAACAAAGCTCTTTCTAATTTTTTTTTCTGTTTTTCGGTATTCAGATTTATCTTTAAGTAACAGATGAAGGCTATTATTGAGGCTTTCTTCAGTGTCAAACAAGTATTGTGGCCAAGGGGATGGGAGGCTTTTTGCGAGATGGGACAGGAAAGATCCTGTATTGTTTTCTTCATGTTTGTTGGCCCAATCATGTTCTTTCAAAAAGAAAAGAAAGAAGACTAAGTCCCTATTGGATCAATAGTAGTTCTGAGATTAATGGAGTCAGACTTGAAGTTTTTGTCAGCTTCTTTAATGCTCTTTCTCTTGAAGTATTGGAGTTAATGGAATTTTAAATTAACATGAGAGAATATCAATTTGTGTGATATATATAACTGGAAATATGCATAAATATAGGCATTATCTTATTTCCTCCTGTTGGAAAATGTGGTAATAGCTAGTTTTAATCTTTAAAAGCAATCTTGAGTTTTTCTTGACTGGTTTAACTCTCCAATTATTGACTTATAAGTATGCTTAGGATCTCCTGAACAGCACCTGTTCTCTGATTATAAATTAAATATTAACTTAATTCTGATTATTAGATTCTGATTTGTAGTTTTTCTGGTCAGAAGGGATCAAACTTTGGGCTTTAATAGCAGTGTGTGGTCTTCTATTCTGAATTCCCATTTTTCTTAATAAGAAAGCACTTAAGTTAATTGCTCCATTTCAAAGACATAGTAGCTCTTTCTGGTCTGTAAGTAGCCTTTCATGCATAGCTGCTGAGGTTTAGAACACCTGCAACCCAAGCAATTTAAAAAAAAAAAAAAAGCCATTAGTCTGCATGGAGAAAAAAAAATAAAGTGCTGAAGTTCAAAATATTATCAATGATGCTGTGTTGGAGTAGCCTGAAAGATTTGGCTTTTGGTCTGTGCTTAGTGCTATCCAAAACAACATATAAAATCCTTTGTAAACCAGTTTTAAAAGTGTCTTGTTTATTCAGAAGCCCCTGTGTGTAGTGTTTGTTCCAAGGGCAAAGGCACCAGCCAACAGCTGATTTCTCCTCAGAAAGAAACATTGCCTAATGTAGATTGTAGAAGCCAAAGACCAAAGGGACAAAGTGCTAAAGATAAACAGCTCAATTCCCAACTGTTCAAAGGCCTCAATAAAGCCTCTGATTTACAGATTTGGGGTGGGACTTGACTATTCCCACCTGCGAGCTAGTCTCGGGTCCTTGGCTCTGGCATGGTGAGGTTGCTGGTGTTTTGTGTGACCCTCTGTGCCCTTCAGGAGTAAAACACTGGCTTTCTTATGCCCTAGCACATCAGTTTTGTGCAGGTTTTCTTTGTCATAATCAAGGGAAGGAAGAAAGTACTGGCTGCTCCCATTTTACTGAGACAGTGAATGGAAAGAGCCCACAGAGATGGCATTGGTGAATATTGAGTGGCACTTGAAGGTACTCCTCTGGCCTAAAGGATTCAGAGGTGCTCTTTAGACTGCAATAATGAGTCTGATTTCAGTAAATTAGTTTATTGAGAAGCAATAAAAACATAACCTGTTTTTATGCAGTGATTTTATGTTTTTTCAGCAATCTTTGCCAACAGCTGGACTGTTAAATGGTAAGACTCACAAAATTCAGGTGTCTCTTTTTAACCATTTTGGGCATTAATACAATTCCTACCTTCCCACCCAAAGATGCATAAGGAAAAGTGCATCTTAAAGTTTCAACTCTCCATCATCCTTTGTAATTTTGGCTCTATTTCATAATGAAATTTTGACTTGGTAGAAGTAGTTGATCTGTGAAGAGTCATGTGCATGGGGTGCCTTGGAAGGTGTTGGGGTAATGAGAGGATTTTAGTAAGCAGGTGGTGGATTGGGATGGATTAGTTACAAGGAGAGTGTTTTGTGTCAGCTCTTGAAGTATAAAGCAATACAACTTTTAAAGGTGTTAAATAGAGTTACTGGAATGCAGGTAGGATGTCTAATTTCCAACTTCCTCTGCCTGGAGGTCTTGTTTTGGACCTAACAGTGGTGTAGATCTATTTTTACCTTTAGAATGGATGCACTCACCTTATGGTGAATTAATAAGGAATATGCTCTGTTTGAGTGTCTATTTTTGTTTTTTGTCTATTGTGGTAATTGCTAGCTGCTAAGCAGTTAGGTAGCTCCTTTACTATTTTTTTGCTGTATTAATGCTTTAATTGTATGCAGTATATCCATTTACTCAACATTACACTAAACTCTGAAGGAATTTTATTGTTGGGAGGTTTGTGGAAAAGGGATTTTATTTTTTTCGTTGTTTTAATTATTGTTTTGCTTATAAACAGGTTTTTGAAAAAGCAGTAAGGTAGAGTATGTTTGCAGTGATGTTTCTATGTGCTGTGTAGGTCAGACTGATTTTCATGAAGAGGGTTTGTTCCTCTTCTTGAAGAGAAGTATATAACGCTCATTATATACAGCCAAGAACCCTTAAGCTTTTGCTGATGGGTTGGAACACTCGAGTGCTTGGGAATGTCAAGCCAAGCTGAGCTCTGCTTAGTGAGGCAGTTTCTAAACATGAAATAATAAGAAATATTCCTTTCAAAAGGTCAGTGAACACACTGAAGGAGATAAAAGCGTCTTCATTTTATGCTGTCTGGGAAAATTGTTCAGAGACACACAGTAAAATGTGAAAAAGCAGGAAAATGTATTGTATTTACTTTGAAACATTCTTCTGCTTTGTGTGTCTCCTTGACATGTTTTCATTGAGCTTGTGCTTTACCACAGGTGAACAAATTGTCAGGGTTGTGTGCTACAATCTTTAAGTAAAAAACAGTAATTGCAGTCTTTTTAAAAACACTGTCTTTCAGAGAAGGGCTTCTTTGAAAATATTTCATTGTATTTTTCCAGAATAAGAAAGAGCAAAAGGGAGTCTGGGAGGCAAAGGAAAATATTGTCTGTGTGGTTGACCATGCTTTGTGAATGACTTGTTTTTTCTGCCCTATACTCTTTATTGACCCATGTCCAGGCACTTAATGCCCTACAAATCTTTAAAATGGCTGTATTTCTAGAATTACTAATCACAAAGGCATTGTTCCAGTTGTCCATGCCCCAAATATTTAATGTTTTTTCTTGCTTACAGGTGCACAGGCATGCTTTAGGTTTTTGGAAGTGGCCATTTGCTTGGTGATGAAAATAGAAAACTTTATTTTTTTTGATGCAAACTAATTATTCTATATTGTTTTGAGTAACATTTTAGTTTTTGGTGCATTTGCAGGGAATGGAAAGATGGGGTATGATATTTGTAATAGTAAACACACTGGTGTTTTATGGATGTAAATAGTAAAGCTTTATGCTTGAAAACCAAGTCTTAGATATTTTGCTTCTTTTGAATAGTGTGCACTTGTCTGGGATAATTTTCAAATACTGATGGGTGCTGAGCTGGGCAAATCAGGCACAAGACAGTCAACTGCAGTTAAAATTGTTCCTCCCAGCCTGAAGATACCAAGTTTTGGTGAGGCCTGAGGTAGTTATATCTGTATCTAGATTTGGCTCTGAATGTCCATGAGCAAAGAATGAACTTCCTTTGACTACCACTTGAAGAACAGAGTCCCCTCAGGGCCTGAGCTGGTCTTGATCATGATTATTTATTGCTGCGCTTTAGATGAAAAACTTGATAGAGCATTTAATACCCAACTTGTCTGGGCATCATTGTACTCAGTACATGCAGTTTAAATACCTCAGTTGGGTTTTTGCTGCTTTTATATGCTACTTTTAGTGTGTGAGTGAACATGTAGCCTTTTACCAGTTGCTTCACTCAGTCAGATTAGATTATATATAAATACATGAAATTCTTTAGAGGTCTTATGTCAAGCACAGGTTGCCAAGTTGCTTTACTGTAGAGCAAAAAATTCACTATAGCATTATATATTTTGATCTCCACTGCACCCAGTGTTTAAAGTATTTTCTCTGGGTTGCTAGTGTTTGCTGCACTCTCTGCAGCTTTCATGTGGCAGTCTTCCAAATGAATATTGATTACTTGTAATTATGTTAAATGTGCTGTACACTGGGTGATGGCAAGTTAAAAACAGAGCCATGTGGGGAGTGCTTGTGTACTGTAATTTCTGACAGCTTCTTAATTTGAATTTTTAATTCAAATATATGTAATTGTTGACACTGTTCTTTTAAACCCTTACTTATTATAATCCAGTTTTCTGCTTGTAAATATCTCTGACAAACTGAAGGAAAATAGAATAAAATACAAACATGCTGGTGTTTGTGTATTCCCCCTCTAACTCCCGTATTAGTTATGTAAAGCTGCCAAGCACCCCATGGGATATAACACGATTATCTTTTTAAACAGGTGCTGGGAAAATGGAGAAGACTCTGAACAGAATTCATCCAGTTTCTGATCCAGAAGCAACCTACTTCCTACAAGTATCATGGGAAAAGGATTTAGGCACTGGCTTTGGTATACTTCTTAGTGATGGTCAGTGCTCATGGACCGGGACAGGTAATGATGGAAAGAGAGAAAAAGTATTTTAATTTAAATTATTACTGTCTTTATTACTCTTTTAAAACACTTTTTAAACTGTGACCCATGGCTTTCATCACAGAACCATTTTATGGGCATTACCTGTCCCCACTGACAGAGAGGGGGTTCATGATCTACTGGGACATGACCACAGAACTTTCAAATCTGGAAAAAAATGAGTGTCAAAGCTAATGCTAATTAATTTAGGACATGGATATGCAATGTTTTCTTTTTTCTCAAGAATATATAATTTCTTGGACTGAGAATAAAGTACCACTTATGTATCTTCTCTAGATCCTTGAGCAAAGTTTGGTGCAAGTTCCATTAGCAAATTAAGAGTTCATGAAGTATTTAGTTGAAGATGTTTATGAAATGTTTTCATAAAATCTTAATAATTTAAGGTAATTATATTTGGCACTGAGGTGAATTTTTGGGAAGGAGAAGGGACAATAAGTTATCAAAAGAATACAATAAAAAATAGCCTGAGGGAGTTTTTTTTTCCTTCACTCAGAAACCTGGATAAGAGAATGGGTCTCTGCATATGTGAATGCTTTTCTTATTAACACCTAAAGAAAGAAAATTTGTGTGTTCCTTGAAAAATGGAAACCTTGATCAAAAGCCCTTCTTTTGGTGGCAAAAGTATTTTAAGGGCAGGAAAGACTTACATATTTTACAGCATATTGTAGGCAAAAATATTTTCTGGGCTCTATATCTGAATTATAAAAGTATATGTGTGTGTAGTTTCTTCCTTCCTTCTCCTGGCCCAATTTCTCCTGCCCAGTTTCTCCTACATAAGTCAAGCCTTCATACAGGTCTGAGTTAGATCTTTATATATACAGAGATTTAGCTACATACATATAGATATACGTATGTATACGTGTCTACATATAAATTAAATCTGCTCTTCCATATTCCTTTTAACATTTCACACACACACCATTGATCAGGAGTTCCTACACAAAACAAATACATATATTCCAATCCTGATTCCCTGTAGACTGGTATGAAAGATTTTTCTCGGTTTGACAGTATTGAAGTTAAACTAAGTATTTTGAAAATAACAAGAAGGGTATTAACACTGATAAACTGAGCATACTAATTTTTCTCTTTAAAACATCATCTCATTTTCTTATGTGACTTTAAAATTTTCCATTTAAATTTGCAGAAAGCCAACTCTTATTTTTCTAAGTGAAAGCTGTGTCCCTATAACTGGGAGCATATAGAAAGAATATGTAGGCAAAATTCTCATTTTGTTGACTTCCTGCATCTGGCAGAATGGCTAGATAATCCATTTCCCAAAACAGAGGGCCAGTGAAAGCAGGATGACCTCACTCTATTAAAAGGAAAAGAAGAGACCCGCAACAGTTCAGCATGAGCTCTGGGTACTCATTCAAAGGAGAGTGCTTCTGCTTCTTCTGTAAGAATCTGTTCCATTTCTAAGGAATTCTTACTGAATTTATAGTCCCTTGAATAATTTCATTTGTAGTCCCTTGAATAGTTTCATTAGGAGTTGATGTTTTTGTGCAAGAGCTTTTCCTACCTCTCAAATCTGTGTTTTCATACACCCAGCATTGCTTTTGGTCACTTTTTAAAGATATTACATTATGTTTGAGGCTACTTAGGTTCTAAATTGGGAGGAGGGAAAGCAATGGTCAGAGTATTCTTGCTGTGGGAAATCTCTTCTGGGTTTCGCAAGGTGTGGATTATTTTGCTTGGCAAGACCTACCAGGAAGTGAGTGAGAGTTGCTGATGGAGTTGTCTTTTATGGGTTTTGCGTATTTAATGTGATGATGAAAAGTGTTAGGAGTTCTATTTAACGAGAGGGGGAAAAAAAGTAAATGTTGGAAGCACAAAAATATGCAACATTTTATAATGAATAAGCTTGGTGTTGGGTTAAAGGACTGCAGCTCTATGGATTTATACATTTCATGTTTCTCGAATGATCAGTTCTGCTGGTTTTATAAGATAAAGGAACATGCAGCACTGTACAGGCACCACAGGAGAAAAAACCCACAGTGCTCTATTATTTTTAGAACTTCCTTATTTTCATTAAAAGTTTATATAAATTATTCTCAGTGTTGAGATCACTATTCTGGACAAACATTTGTTTTTGCAAGTATTTCAAACTTACTTTTTTCTGCCCCTCTTTGCCTCATAAAAATGTTTTGGTTCTTACTATATGTAGTCAGTTGTTAGCTCTGCAAGATAAGTGTAGCCCAAATTGTTCCTTGACTTGTGGGTTTAGCTGTTTTACTGACAGTAGTTTCACTGTATCATTCTTTATATGAAAAATAGAAGTTCTACTTTTAGTTTTGAAAAAAATCAAGATACAGCTGGCAATTGTTGAAGTCCTAAGCTTTTCTGATAACATTTATTTCCTGCTTAAAATAAGTTTTAAAAATCTTGGGAAATGCTGATTGTGAGGTTATTTTGTTTGTCATTTATTCTAATGCATGTTCCACAGCACTCCTATATTCCTTTTTACGTATAATAACATTTCTGCATTTTCTGACATCTGATTAATTTTTGTGTTTTTGCAGATGTGGTAAAATACTGTATATCCTACCTTGTCCTTTTACTTTATGTTAGGCTTGTATGAGTTTGACAGGTTTCCTCTTGTATCTTAAAAGAAGAGAGGAGCAGATAATACTCATTTTTAAGCATTTTCTCTGAGGGATAATATGGAAAACTTTGTGACAGATTTCAGACTGCCAGAGGCCTGTCGCTGCACATCTTGTGTGACAAAAGCTGACTTACTTGTATTTATTGAGAGTATTTACATTCTTTCTTTCTTTTTTTTTTTTTTTCCTCCTGTTTTCTTTTCACTTCTTACTACTCCAAAGCAGTTGGGTTCCATTGCAGGGTAATGGTTCTCAGGGGATATTTTTAAGGGTTGGAAGAAATGTCTCCCCTATCTTTGTGGAGAGTAAGGGGATCGATCTGATCAACTGGAGCCTGCTTAGCCAGAGGGTGTTGGAGGAAAAGTCTTAGAAACCATTTCAAAAAATACTAAGAACAAGATAGTGAGGATTTATGAAGGTGAAATTATGCCTGACCCATCCAGTAACCTCCTCTGAAATTAACAGCTTGTTGCATGATGTGAAGGCAGGGGATGTTGGTTGTTTTGGCTTTATCTGGGAAGGGTTTCAATGCTGGGCCCTCTAAAATCCTCACAAACTGATGAAAACAAGCGAAAATTCCTGCAGGTCCAGAAATCCTGAAGTGTGTGAGGCTATAACTATTTATAGGAAATAATTATGCATTTGTCTCTTTGCTGTATTTTTATATGATGGATTGATTTGATACATACTGCTTGGCAGTACAGGTTTAGCTACTGTGTCAAGAAGACTGGAGAAAAATGAGGCAATTTGAAGAGGCTTATGTCTGATTGAAATGATGTTCTATTTCTATCAGAGTGATTTCAATACATGTACAGACTCTATGTCTCGCTATGAAACTATTTTTAAAGGCATTTGTATAGAGAAGATGTTCAACTATTAATATGGCTTTTGAGTGGGATACTTGCAGTTCTGTGAAGGATGTATTTTGTTGGGTTTTGGGTTGGTTTTTGGTGGTTTTGTTTGCTTTTTTGTTTTGGTTTGTGTGGTTTTCTTTTTTTTTTTTTTTAAATACTCTCACAAAGTAATGTCCTTTACTCTCTTAAATGCTGGGCAAATGCTAGAAGGATCTAAGAACAATGAGGAGTAAATGACAATCCAGAGCGGTCTTCCTGAGAAGATAGTTGGGAAGAAAAGGAAATAGTTCTTTTAATCAAGTCAGCAATCTAAAATACTGTGTTGGTAGGCTGCACATCAAAGCCTGCATTACAATGTACAGATTCTCTCTTTAATTTGCTTATATCTATCTATCTGTCTTTGGTGAAAGGTCAGTGTTTTTCAGAGTGACTTTAGGCAAGTAGAATGGAGGACAAGTAGCAATAAACCAATTTCAGACAGGAAAAAAGGCGACAGAACTTAATATCTATGAAAAACACAGTATTCCTGCTACATTTCCATTAGTGGAAATGGCACACTGGCACACTGATGTGTACCAAGGAAAGAATAGTTTCCTAACATTTCAGAGAATCATAGAATGGCTTGGGTGGGAAAAGACCTTAAAGATGATCTAGTCAGTATGTGTCTGTATATACATATAAATATATATCAAATATATGTATATTGTGATATACATAATAATATATATGATATGTACATGTTCACACACATATGAATATTTATTCATCACGTATTTCTTTCTAATAGTGTCTGAGGCAGAAATTTGCAAGGAGGCTGCTGACATGGAAATGAACAAGGCGAAGTATGTGGAAGAGCTGAAGAAAGCATTGGTGACTGGAGAAGAGTCAGCTGGCAAATACAACTTTGTGATTTCAAGAGATCAAGAAAATATGGTGTGTCAGTTCTCCTATGAAAGAAGCCTGAAAGATGGCTCTGTAAGTAGTTAAATGTTTAAATTTGGCTGTCAAACTATGAGAAGGATCTTCTTATAATCTGTATCTGTAGACACTTTTTGGTTATTTCAGATTGTGGTTTGGTGTTAAAACTTTTGTGAAGAAGAAGCTAATTTAAGGTAATCCTCCTAGATTGTGCTCTTTTCTTTGTAGTACTTCACAAGATACCTATTTCCGTGTGCAATATAGAAAATTTCAGCCCAGTTTGGCTATTGAGATGCCAAAGGTTAAGTGATACAAATCTTCCAGTCTGCATTATCAGTATTTCTGTGTATTTACCCAAGGCCATATTGACTCTAAATCACTTTTTGACACTTCTTGTGAGTTGTTTGTGAGTGCTGTTCACAAAGTCTAGGTCAGGACTGTGAGTTTGGGATCAAATTGTACTGAGGGAATAAAAGCTGTAAGTTTAAGAATCCTGTTTTTCTTGTCTGTGTCACACATAATATATTCTAAATAGAAGACATTAAATAGATACTGTATTTTTATTATGCAAAAGTATCTGCATGTATTATCTCACATAATACACGTTTTCCATCAATTAAAGTTTATGAGAAATCTATTTTGTACGAAAACGTCTTTATGTCAATTTAGGAAATAACCTGGCCAAAGAAACTGAAAATGCAAAGAGCCCTGATTGTTATGTATGCTTTTAGGTTTGGGTGTCAAAAGAGTGTTTCTAGAAAAGATATCATTTCTTGGGTGAAAGTACACTTTTTTTTTTTTAGCTCATGTACTAAACTAATGCCTACAAATAAAATTGCCAAAGGAATTGTATAAAATTACGGAATAGAATTAAAGAATAGAAATAGCTTTCAGGTGAGTAATTGTTTCAAACATTTTACAAATTCTCTGTGAAAGTATTTGTGACCTCTTTCAGCATCACATTAGGAAATTAATCTTTCTGGACTCTGTACATCCAGAGGGCTGATATTCACCTAAATGTACATTTACCTCAGAGGAAGTGTAGACAAACTGCTCTGCAACTGAAACTGGACTTAAATTCCAGTAGTTGTTTTGTCTTCACATCTTTTATTTGGTCATTATGAATATTTTCTCCTTCTCTTTTCATGTATTATAAACAAATTATAACCTTCCCAATCTTGTGGAGGGCGTTGCAGGGCAAGGGTGAGAAAATTCTATCAAACTATCAGGAATAAATAGGAGATTAATATTCTTTACGATAATCAAGAATTAATTTATTATTTAAATTTTCTTATTTATTTTAAAATAATTTTAATTTACAGTTATAATTTGTTTTTGTCATTTGATATAAAACAACAGGAGAGATAACAGAAAAACATGCATGAAGATGTGGTTGGTTGTGTAAAATGATGTCTTGAGTTTTGTAAATACTGATTCTAGCTGTGCCTCAGGCTGATGCAGCTGCGCCTAAAGCATTATGCCTTTAAAAATTGGGGGGTGTTTTGTGGGAAATGTGGGGGTGTGCTTTGTGGAAATGGGGGGATGTTTTGTGGACATTGGGACTGTTTCATGATTTATCTTCCTCCTGACAGGTGGCTTTGCTTCAGGGCCTTGGGTGCTGTGCCCTGAGGAGCTGTTTGCGGGGTGGTGAGGGCACAGAGTCAGCTGTCAGAGTGACATTAAAATAACAATGGTCTCGGTATATACAGTGGGAATTGTGTGTCGAGGCAGCTGCCTCGAGAAAGGGCCACACACACAGAGGGGCCATTGAGGCTGGTCCAGCTCAACTGCTGCCACCTAAACAAACACCACCACAGAGTCAGTGATTTAGCGCTTGATCTAAGTAGGTGACCACTTGGAAGTAAATCTTTCCAAGTACTTTAGCGAGTCACTCCACATATAATAAATAATGGAAATCTGGCAAGCTTTTTTTTTTTTTTTTTTTAAGGCTGGCAATTAAATAGACTAAATAGCCTTTGATAAACAATTATCTGAGTGCTGGCAGTGTCTTTTTTTTTTTACAGTGATGTGACAGACTCTGGGGCTTTTTTTTCTTGCCTTTTGCTGAAGTTTGTAAACAGGGAGGATAAGCGCTTAACAAATTCCATCTCAGGTGCAGTACTGTTGCTAGTTAGGATGATGGAAGAGATGCTGTTATTTGTCTCTCCCATTTCCTGTGGCTACTTTTCACTTTTTTGGTCCTGTGAGTTCATCGGGAGTTTACTACAAGTTTAAAAATAGCTGAAGAGGTTCCTTCTAGCCAAAAGTTCTTGCAGAATTCTGAATAAGAGGAGTAGAATGGGTTGGGCACTTTAACTCTGTCCAAACTGTCTTGGTTCAAGGTTTGGAGAGTTTCTTTGCTTCAGACCTCTGATGATATGTTGTTTGGTTAACAAAGGTCACTGAGAGTTCAGGTTATTTCCCAGGCAATTGGACCAACTGCTCAGCTGAGAAGACAGAACGATGAAATGATTAATCCTTAGGTCAGTGTAAAAGTAATGATTCTTCTGTATCACTTATACCTGTATACCTCAATATTTGAGAATGGACACTTGGATAAGTTTCTTGGAAGGCCAGTTTAGAAATAAGTTATTACTAATGAGGATTATATAATGAAAACATTGTGTTATCTTTTTCATAATCTCAGACTTCTAAGTGCTACAGGATTTTTCCCGTCTTGCCTTATGTGTACCTTTAGATCTTGCAGCTACGCTTGAAATGCTTCTGTGGTAAGAAAAACCTTTTCAGAAAAAATTTGTATCCCCCCCATACTAGTATGTATATATGTTGACAAAAATCCCAGTGAATTAAGTAATTAATTTCCCTTTCTTAGCTATTCAGCTGTCCATGTATTTGATTGCTGTTTCTGATAAGCAGTGGTTTGGAGAAATAAATTTAAAATAAATGCATTCAAAACTGAGGAATTGTTGAAAAAAGGAAGACTCAAACACTGCAATGAATAAATACTTCTTCAGTTTCTCTCCACCTGTTAAGATTTGTGTCCTTCACTGGAACTATCCAGTTGAGCAAAAAGGATTATTTTTTAATAGTTGTTTTGAGGCCTAATATAAATGACATTATAAGGGATGTTTTCTAATTTCACAAGTGCAATGACAGTCTAAATACATTACAAGTATCCATAAAGTGTTCATGAAATAGCAGATTTTGATAGTACAGGAAATATTGTCAGTTGTCCTTTCTCCCTCCTGGTGTTATTGTATTGCGTCCCCTCCTTTCCCCTTGATTCCTTTAGATTTTCCCTTCTCGGCACACCTGGTGTGCATTCCAAATCAAGACTTACTTTCACTTGTACAACTGAATTCAAATGTTTTCCTTTCATAAGGAAAATCTGTAAATCATGGAATATTGACAAGCCTTAGTTTTCCAAACAAAGATCACAGAGGACAGTAGATGCTCTGGAAAAGAGATTACTGTGTGTGGGCTTTGAAACTTCACTACAAGACTCTACTCCTGTATTTTCTGTAAGGGTGAATAGCAGTCAGAACCTGAAGAGGAACAAGAATCCCACCAGTGTTTCTCTTCAGAAACTCTTTTACAGCTCCAGAGGAAGCATGGAAGTCTACCTGCAAAGGCACAGGAAAACTCTCAAACTCAGGATAGTAGTGTTTTGTTAACGTTTTCATTCACTCAAATAGAACATTTAGCGGTCTAAAATACTGAATGCGTATGTTTAAACCTTCTTTGTAAATGGATTCAGTGAACTATCGTGAGGACAAAGGCTAAGGGTCTTTGATCTGAGATTTAAAATTTGAAGCCCTGTCGCAAAAATATTTCAAATTTTTTGGTGATTCAAATATTCACTGAGAGTTGTTCTAAAATGTAGTAGTATCGCTGGAAAAATCTTTTGGCAGGAAGGTTCTCTTCATCCAAATAATGAATATGGTTCTCCTGCAGAAATATGTTTCCCAGAGATAGAAACAGCATACAATTTCAAGATAGGTTTCTGGATGGTACCATTCCATGGAGAGGCTCTTACATAGAAGATGATTTGGGTTTTTTTTTATCTTTTTATTTCTCTCAGATGCCTCTCTAAATAATGTCTGATATTTCATTTAAAATTTAGTGGTAATTCCTTTGTTGGATGCAAAATGTAGCAGGTACTAGTTTGGGGGTTTTTTTGATTTTTGGAACCCAAATCTTAGTCTTTCTGTGTGCATTTTGCTCTGACAAATCTAAGGTTTTGGGGTTTTTTTGTGTTGTGTGTGGGTTTTTTTTATGTTGTGTGTTTGTTTGTTTTTATTTTTTTTATGTGTGTGTTTTTTGTTTTGTTTTTTTAAGGCTTTGAGGTACAACTCTTTGTTCTGTTCACACAAGCACATTTTCTTCTCAGTGTGTAATACCTATATGTTATTAATATAACTCAAATATGTAAGCATATGCTAATTTGTAGTAAGAGAACATTGCCAATAATTTTAGGAGCTGCAGAGGCATCAACAAGTGAAATTTGGAAGCAGTCAGATGTTTTTATACTAGTTCTTTGTTGCACTTTGTTGATTACTGTACATCTCACAAAACAATAGATGTATTTCCATTACTTCACACCATTGTGTTTTTTAGCTGTTCCATTTTGGCTAGAATGAGAATTCATTATTCTAAATAGCTAGTCCATCCCAGAAACATTGTATAGATGAATTTTTCTATTTATTTGGAATAAACTTGACCATACTCTTTCACTCTAGCCTGAATCTATATATTCTTCTCCTCCGAGCTGACTTTCAGGAGATAAAAAAAAAAAAAAGTTTATCTAATGTAGCTTTTAGAGACTAACCTGAGCTATTGATTAGCAAGTGAAGGTTATAGTCTACATGAAAGGTCTAAGCCTTGAGGTAATGTGGTAAAGGTATATAGTTAGCGAAAAAATAAATGAGCTTATCTAGCCTTTACAAGCACTGTTTTATTTACAACTTAAAATACTGGTTAAGCTAAACAAAAGTGCTGTTGAACACCCATGTGTATCATGAGAGTGTGGAAGGTGTGCCTTCTCTTAAATAACCCAGGACAGCAGGTAATTTTTATTTTTACTTTTGTTGGTTTTG